TAACTGTTCTCCAGCCCAGTGGCCACAGTGAATACCGGCCACTCAAACAAGCTAGCTAGCTATGTACAGTCTCATGCAATTTCAGGGTTGTTCTGTCTCCCTGAGTCCAGGTCCCGGCTATACTCATGTCTATTGGGCCTAAGGGGTTCGCTACATCAAGCTTGTCCATTTCCCACCCGAGACTAACTTCACGGGTAATGCCGCTCACTGTAGACCAGCCACCTGTTGAAATGTTTCTACTCAGATCCTAACACAGCAAGGACCGATGGGTACCAGAGATCACTGTGGGCTGATACTCACCGCAGCTCACAGCGCCCTGCTTCCTGGAGCCAGCCAGCTCGTTCCCGTACTTGTCTACACACCAGCACTGGCCCGTGCTGCCGTGGCACTGTGTGGCTCTGTAGTAGCCCTCCTCGTTACAGTGGGGTATGAATGCTCCTGGGGGGATCAGAGAAGGAGAGATACTCAGGGGTACTGCCGGCTGAGACTCAGGAGAGGGCTCGCGTGGCAGGCGCGGTACTTGCTCCAGGGCTAGCACGAGAGAACCAGGTGGTTGGTTATTACTTAGTCAAGATTGCAGGGCCCTAGGACTTGCTCCAGGTTTATTTTTGGGCTCTTGATTCTGTTCTGTTCCATTGGTCTATGTGTGTGTTTTTATGCCACCTGGTTTTGATTACTACAGCTTTACAATGTAACTTGAAATCAGAAGTGTGATGCTTGCTGCTTTGCTCTTTTTATCAGGATTGCTTTGGCTGTTGGGGGTTTTTTGTGGTTCCATACAAATGTTAGGATTGTTTTGTTTTTTTCAACTGTAAAAAATGCCAATGGAATCTTGATAGGGACTGCACTGAATCTATAGGTAGATGGTATTGGGTAGTATTATTAGTTCTTCTTCTAATTAATAATTAAAAAGAGCACAAGATACCTTTTGATTTTACCATGCCTTTGTTTTCTTTCATTAATATCTCATGGATTTCAGAATAGAGCTCTTTCACCTCCTTGGTTAAATTTATTCTTAAGTATTTTATTGTTATTTATGTTACTGTAAATGGGATAACTTTACTACTGTTTCAGATAATTTGTTGTTAGTGTGTGATAGAGGCATTTAATTTTGTTTCTGCTATTTCTGTATCAAACTAATGAATTCATAAAATTAGGGTATTTTTCTCTTTTTCCATACTCTAGACATTTTATGTAAAATGAGAATGACCTCTTTCATAAAAATATTTTGGGCCTGGTGCATATTGGGGTAATGAGTAGCATTCTGATTTAAATTAATTTCATGGTTTTCTTAATCCAGTTGGGTCTCCTGGTTCTTTTTGTCTCAGATATGGTCATCATAATGTCTATTTCAAGTAGGTTTTCATCATTGTTATGAATTGGTTGATAGCAGTGGCTCTCGAAGTGTTCACATAGGACTGGCTGCCGCAACATCGCCTGGAAATGTCTCAGAAAAGAGATTCTTGGGCCCAACCCCAGATCCACTGTGTTTACAGTATTCTCCTATATCTGAGGTTACACCCCACTTCTAAATTCACAGTAGCATTTGAGCCTTTCATATTGGCAACGCTAGTCTACGTCATTGTTTTCTGCTTTAGTTGTAATCATTTCAGCTTGTGGTGGTGTTCCTAAAGCTTCCTGATTTGTAAGTTTTGTTAGTTGTGTTTTTTATAAATGCATTTGAAGGTATGAATATGCCTCTTAAGTTTCACTGTGGTTACCTCCCTCCAATTTTGGTACACAGTGCCTTCCTTTTCAGTCAGTTCTAAATGTTTTGTAGTTTATACTGTATTTCACATTTGAGTAATTACTTATTTTTAAAACCCAGATGTATGGGGCTTTAACAACCTCACTTTTGACTTCTACTTTTATTGGGTCGTGGCAAGTGAATTTGGTCTGTGATGGTTTTTGAGATTGGTTGAGTTTTCTTTTTTGGCATGATCTGTGGCAAGTATTTCATGTGTGTTTGAAAAGACTAATTTATATGCTGATGTAAAGGAATACATGTATATGGATGCTAATTAATCATGCTATTCAATTCTTCTCTCTGCCTACCTGAACTGTAAGTTTTAAGGAGAGAGCTATATTTAAAGTTTCTATTTATAAATATGACAGTTCCTCCTTGCAATTTTGTTTTAGTCAATTGATGATATCACATATTAAAAGGCACATTTCAGCAAGATGATACTGTCTTTACTTTTAGAATTCCAAACAAAGTGGTTGTTCTGTCAGATTTTAACAATGCTATAACAATGAGTCTTTACTATCTTAATTTCAAGTTTCTGTGTTTTATATGTAGCTCTCTTTTCAAAAATGCAAATCAATAGTCTCTGAGTTAGATCCATTCATATTTATTATTATTACAGATAGGCTTGCTCTTATTTCTACCACTCTATTTTGTGTTTTCTATTTTTTATTTCCCCCTTTTGTGCTTTGTGTTGAAATTATTACATTTTATGTATTCCATGATTTTCTTCTATAGGTTTATCTTGTTAGCCTTAAATTTCCCAGAGAAGCGTATTTTTACTTGTAAGATCTAAAGTTAATCTATGTTTTGTTTTCTTCCTGAACAAATCAGAAATTTAACATTTTTACCACTTTTTCTCACTGCCACCAACACTCTGAAATCATAAGTTCAGCTTGCTATCAAAACATTTTATAGCATATTTATGTAGGTTTAGCTGCATGTCTTTTCTCACAGTTAATTCCTCTGGGATTATTTCTCTTCTGCAGAGCTGATCAGCCGAGTGAGATTCAGTATGCCTGGGGTTGGGCACGTCGCTGTCATCACGCTTGAGCATGCTTGTGGGTAAGCTGGCATTCCAGGTTCCAAGCGGTTTCCTCTCAGCACTTGGAGATGTGATTTCTTCAGTCAGCATTGCTAAGCTGATTCTTATTTAACTGCAGATAATCTTTATGGTGGTTTAGTTTTGGTGTTTCTTAGGGTGCCTGTCTGATGACTGTGCTCGTCTCCTATGGGGGGTTCTCCTGAGTGAGTGGACTGGCTGCGTCAACCCTGTGAAGACAGGCTTCCGCTCGCTATTGTGGTTTCCTACTCCCTAGTTTTATTTCTGATTTTTTTAGACTAAGTACCTTTTTAAATTTACCTTGTACTTGATGACATAGGCCCCAGAAAGAAGTGTGGCAAGGGAGAGAGAGATTCTTACTACTTGAACCTGGGTTTGAGCCCAGATCCAGCTGACTGGAGGGACTACTGGAAACACTCAGTGCAGCTGGCTGCTCAGCATCAGGGATGGGCAAGGGCCCCCAGAAAACCATCCCTCTGTGATAGGCAAGCCTGCTGATGCTGCAGTCAGAGAGGCGGTGCCCACACTCCAACTGAGGGACTCTCTCAGCACCCCAAGTCTTCAGGGAGCAGGAGGAAGAAAAAATAGATGCTTTCAGTTACCAAAATGCAGAGAGATTCGTGCACAGATGCTCAAATAGGACCTGCAAAGGAGGACAAGCAGAGAGCTGGAGAAACATGGTTGCTCTTCGAGCTGCAGTTGGAAAACAGGTGCCTTTTAAACCAACAAAACAACACTGGGCTGAGCCCCGGGTGGGCAGGAAGCAGGTGCTGCTCTACACCTACAGTGTGACAGGATGACCCCTCTTTTAAGTAATTATAATGGATTATAATGGCAGTGATTATAATGGATTAGAATTTGTTGTTGCTTGTTTTGTCTATTTTTTAAAATTGAAATGCCCCTGAATACAATGTATTATATTAAAAAATTTCATCATGTGAAAAATAAATTGTAAGCAGATAAGTGGTATTTCTATGAGTCAGCCAGAGTAATCTCCATGCGTGGGGAGATGTGATAGAAAGTAAGCTTTGAAACTAGGTGGACTCATGTCCAGAGAGAAGTAGGCATTTCAAGTATGTGAGCTAGGAGAGTGGAAGATGCAACATGTTACCTCAGACCACGTCTTATGTCTGATGCATTATGAATTAATGAAGCAGTAAGGAGATATCCACACCCAGTGGAAACACCTACTTTAAAAACAGCGTTATTCTAGCTCTATAACTACCTGTGGGTGTTGGGCACATCCCTCAGCCCCAAGTGACCTGCCACGTGGAAGAATCAGGTCAGTAAGCACAGGTCCCACGGGAAGGCCTGTAGGGGGAAGGGGTTTCTCCACTTGGCCTTCGGGTCAGAAAGAGGCCCTCCTGTGCTTACATGGGAGAAGAACCTAGGACAGGTCAGATTCCCAACTCTGGAGAGTCAGGTGTGCAGAGTTTGAGGCAAGCAGTGAAATAAGTAATTTTCAAAAGTGGGAGGGAGGAGTGTGTACGCTGAGGTGTCAGGAGGGGAAACCGCCAGAGTTCACAGAGAGTCTCACCAACAATCTGTGAAAAACCTGCCCATTTCCACCAGGTAAATAAACCTCTGAAATGGCAAGCTGCTGAGGGAACACGCTGCCCCTGAATGCTTAATAAGAATAATCCTGAGTTATTGCTGCAGCTGGTCACTTGCTTTTTTAAAAAAGGAAAGCAATGCTTACTCCTGTTTTCCAACAAACAATGAGGTGTACCCACTCTTTCAGGGCTGCTGTGGAGCTAGAGGGAGTGCGTGCTGCCGCAGGCCTGCCTCAGCCAGACCTGCACATCTGGGAAATCACACAACCCACCTGCTTCCACCTTATCATTCGGACAAAGGAAAGAGAAGCAATGTGTGGTGTCCAGACCAGACACCTTACACTTCTTTTCCAGGGATCACGTGAGCGTGGGAAAGAAATATGCTCATGTACATGCACGTCCTTGAGTCCTATCTGATAGTCCTAGGAGGGGGGATGGCTCATCTCCTCCTTGAATGGGCAGCTTGATCTGGGGAATACAGGAAGTTCTATCGTTTTAGAGCTGGAAGGAACACTTGGGAGCTCCCTTCAAGGGCTCTGCTTGAAAGAAGAAAAAGCAGAGATTCCCTGGAGCCCAAGGCGAGGGGAGAGACTCCAGCCCTGGCAGGCTTGCCCACCAGCCTGGCCTCTTCTCTCGCTAGTTCTCAGCCGACTCACTGGCCCTCATGCTGGGCCCAGCTGATGGTGGCCGAGTACCAGCTGCCTGGGAGAGACCTGTACGGTGTAAAGTGAGACATTTCCTTCATGAAACGCGGGTCCCTAACTGAATAACCATTGCTGTGCTCAATATCACTGCAAGAGACATGTTGCTCTAATTGGTTGTTGAAATGAGTGGCAAGAAACTGTACTTACCCAGCAGGCTTTTCCCCTTGCTCAGCTTCTGAATCCTGCTCACTTCATTCTGGCAAGGGAGACCTGCAACGGAGTGTATGTAAGTCAGGGATCATCCCTAGCGACTGGCCTTCCTCCTGACAGGAAACACAGACAGCGGCACACCTGGGAGTGGGTTACTGCACCTGCTGTTACTACGCAGCAAAACAAATCCAGGCCAGAGTGTTACTAATTAAAAATACAAAACTCATACCACAAGGTACTTAAAATAGTACTTGGGGGCTCCTTGACCAGAAATTTTCTTCCCACCACCATCTCAAGCATATACCAGGGGTCTAAGAGGTGATTTGCTAACGGACTTTCCATAGGGAAGTCAATAATGAGCTGAAGACCGATGCTTCCTAGTGGGCATGTGTTCAGAATCCACAGACCAGCTAACCAGAGGGAAGGGGACAGACACTGCACCGATACCAGGTCGTGTTGTGGAGAGGAAGCAGGGAAGACTGGACCTCATGGCTTACTACCCAGGAGAGTACAGCAGGCCTTGCAGGACAGTTAGGAGGATGCATAAGGCATCCAGAGAGACAGTGAGCGTAACTTTCAGCTGAGTGCTTTGGGCATGTGTATCAGTCTCTGAGCCTCAATTATAAAACACTAGAGGCCCAGCGCATGAAATTCATGTGTGTGTGTGTGTGGGCGGGGGGGGGGGGTCCCCTCAGCCTGGCCTGCACTCTCTCCAATCTTGGACCCCTCGGGGGATGACTGACTGCTGGTTTAGGCCTGAGTTGGATCGGTCCTAAACTGGCAATCAGACATCCCTCTCACAATCCAGGATCACTGGCTCCTAACCGCTCATCTGCCTGCCTGCCTGATCACCCCTAACCACTCTGCCTGCCTGGTTGCCCCTAACTGCTCTCTCCTGCCAACCTGGTCACCCCTAACTGCTCTCCCCTGCCAGCCTGATCCTCCTAACCACCTCTGCCTTGGCCCCCACCACTGTGGCTTTGTCCAGAGGGATATCCAGTCTAATTAGCATATTACTCTTTTATTAGTATGGATAGGCTGTTATGAGCAAGCACAGAACCGTCAGTTCTCGATGAGGGAGCCACATGGCTAAGCAGGGCATATAAAAGGGTGTCGTACTCTTTTACTCCCTGGAGAACTTTCTTCCATTCAAGCCCAAAGAAAGGTGACCTCCCTAGTTCTTAAGACTTCCCAGGACTCACCTGTGCAGGTCCTATGCCTCTGGGAGGCCCTACAGGTCCTCATGGTCCTCTGGGCACAGACAGAGGTGCTCTACTCCCCAGGGACCTGGACTACCTCTAGTGCAGGTGTGGGGCCTGGACAGCACCTGGTCCCATCTATCTCCCTGCAGGTCCCACAGCACCACCAGGCCTCTGGTTGTTCCCTGAGAGAAACTGGCTCTAAAATACATTGTGTTTACTTCTGGGTTTAAGATACCAACAAAAAACAACAAAGAAAAGGGAAAACAAATTCCATCTGTGATGATTAAAATTGGTGTTTACTGTGATAAATAATGAACATTTACTGAATTCTTAGAATGTACCAGACAATGTCCTAGAACTTTGCATCTTCATTAGTTTAATCTTTACAACAACCATGTAAGGCACTCAGCAAATGGACTGCTCCTCTCTGTGACGAGCAGGACGGAGCAGCAGCCGTGGGCCCTGGAAGACTGCCCTGGAGAGAAGCAGGAAGATCCACCATCTCAGACAGTGTCCTTGAAACAGGATTCATACTGTAAGGCTTCTCCCTCAAATTGTGCGGCAGTGATTTTAAAAATTCTACTTACTGAAAGGTAAGGAAAAATAAATCGGACTGAGACCTGCTAAACATTGCTGCAGGAAACAGAGGAAAGAACAAACTCCAGGTGAAGAGTCGCCACAGAACAGGTTTGCTGCTGAGCCGGTGAAAGTCAAAACCCAGATCTCCCTCTGTGGTCAGGGGTTCTCACGGAAAGGAGACTGTAAGGCTAGGGTTTAATGCACAGATACAAAGGGTCAAGGATGAAAGTGACAGAGAAAGAGGACAATGAGCAATGAGAGAAACAAAGGCTCTGTCTGAAGCTCCAGGGTTGATGCGCAGCGTCCACCTGCAACCAGTCCTCCCGAGAAGAGGGTAATCCAGCGGAACACAGCGTCGCTCAGGCGAGTGATGTGGACCGAGAGAAACCGAGACATGTCCTAGGAAACCCGGGCCCTTCAAGGGAAAGAATCCTTTGGCTTCCGAGCAAAATGGTTCTATCACCCGTAAAAGGGAGAACAGCTGGTATGGGTTCCCATTGTTCTGTACTTATACCCAGTGCTAGGAGAATGTTTTAACAAGGTATCAAGAAAAGAAACTGTAACTCCAGGAAGTTTATGCTTAGCATCTTTGTTTTTGTATAAAAAACAAACATATTTTCACATGGACTAATTCAAAGAATACATTCCCCATGAGAATTGTTTTGGGGGAAAAGTCTAAATCTCAAACTCAGTAATAAAACTAAAGAGAATAATATCAAAACCAGTGAACAAATAATCCTACCACATGAAAGTTTAAAAGTGGCTCTAACAATTGTCTTGGGCCAAAGAGGCACTGAGATATTTCATTGTAGATCTATCTACAAATTAGCCATAATGGAAACACCAGACATCGATATGGAAGGTCTACAGACCAGGAAAATCTTTGGAAAAAAAATTTAGCCTCAAGTACATAATAATGAAATGTGGAAGGCAAATGAAAACCCCAGAACTGGTTCTGGGTCAGGGACAGAGATGGTGGGGACCTAACAAAAAAGAAAGTAACTTCCTTAAGAAAAAGGGAGAACCACACAAAAAAGAACTCCCACAAATCACCTTGTCAACTCACCCTGCCGCAGGTGTGGGTCCTGCTGAGAGGGGAGCCGGCCTGCTGCGGCCCCGCCCCGACACTACAGGTCCAGGGGAAGCATTAGCAGGGAGGCTGCGCTCACCAGGCTAAACCTGAACCCTGACTAAGGCCGCATGACTTGGTAGGAACTCAGGCCCAAATCTAAGCTTCATGCTGAACCGCTGCAAGCATTTCTATTGAAGTAGAAAACATGGCTATTATTTAACATCAATTTGGAAGTACAGCAGATGTGATTAGAAAAGAGAAAGAAATGAGGTATGGAAATTGAGAAGGAAGACAGAAAATCAGCACTATTTGCAGATGGTATGACTGCACAGCTGAAACATCCAAGGAAACCAACCAGAAAAACCACTTACACAAAATGAGAATTTAGTAAGGTGGCTGAGAACAAATTAATATTGAAACAACCACCGGCGAGGCAATATAATGAGAAATAACAAACACAAGGAAGTAGAATGTTTGTGAGAACAGAACTGGTAACCGCCCTGGTCCATAGATCCTGTTCTGGGGCAGAATGATTCAGTTCTAGAGCTCTCAGTTCTCCCTACATTAATATAATGTGCCTGATTCTAAAAAGAAACCAGTAAGAACTTTCTTATTGAATAAACTGATTCTAAAGCTCCAAATATATGCGAATATCCAGAAAAATTCTGAAAAAAGGATCAATGGCAGCGGAGGTTGGCCCCACTGGATATTAAAACACACTGTAAAACCAATGTAATTTAAAGTTGAGAACTAACTAATGTATAGTTCAGTTAATAGGACAGAACAGATAGATATACACATAGGAGTTTTCTATGCTAGAGGAAGCATTTCAAATCGGAAGAGAAAGATGGGTTAGTCAATAAATGTCGGTAGAGCCACTGGACACCCATTTTCTGACAGGGGTGGAAGGGAGGATGGGGGCTGGGACCCCACTTGACTGTCCACCAAAAAGTCTAAAGTGATACTAGATTTCAACAAACATACACACAAAGAATCCCAAAGGTAGTGAAGAAAACACACAAGAGAACAGCTTTACTATCTTAAAGTGGGAAATGACTTCCTAAGTTTAATAATGTAAGCTTTATGGCTGCTAAGAGGCCATAAATAAAAGATGGAGAAATCTATCTTAAAATGTAACATTTATCCCTAGCTAAAATACAGCTGAAGTTGGAAAAAACCATTTGCAATAGGTATGACTACAACAGTCCTAATATCCTTAGGAATAATTCCTATTAAAAACAAACAAACACCCACAAGAACCCAATAGAGAAATACTAGGCATTTCAAGGAAACGGAAGAGTGTTTCAAACAAACATAAAGAGGTTCAACCTAAGTCATAACAAGGGAGATGAAATGGAGTCTAGGATGATCACATAGTTTGGCAAGAACGTGGGCCACGAGGTATTCTTGTATAGTTTTTCATGAGAGTAAAAATTGCCCTCTTTGGAGAGCAAATTGGAAACTGCTCAAACTAAAAAATGTGCATGTCCTTTTGACCAGTAAGTCTGTTTTTTAGGAATGTATCATATAATTCTATAAACATACGTATGTACTTCTCACTGAGTGCTCTTCTGTGATGCCTACCTATAGTTTCTGCTGTATGTGTACTGTTTGTGCATTCACACAAACATACACAATTAAAAAAAATATTTCCATTGATTTCCCACCACTCATGGAGCCCGCAGCCCCAGCATGTGCTGTGACCGGGAATCAAAGCGGCATTCCCTCTGTGCTCCGGACAACACCCAACCAACTGAGCCACACTGGCCAGGGCAACACATATACAATTTAAATGCCTTAATGATCATACCCTTCCCTTTCCCAGGATGGTTTCGGACAGCCATGCATATAGTATGTTATCCTGTTATCCTGGAGACCTGAACTAAGCTGGGCCAGACTTCTCTGGGCTTGGGATTGGAAGCGAGTTTCTGCTAGTCCTGTGAGCTGTGGACCACCAGGCCTGGGCAGCACCCCACGCTGCCCCCCGCTCCCCCCCCCCCCCCGCCCGCCTGCCCAGGAAGCTGAGACAGAGAGAAATAAAGCCAGACCTGAGACCACTCAGGGAGTCTCATAGCTCCTGCTGGATCCCTGAGCTGCCTTCTGGTCCCTCATCTGCACAAGTGCAGGCTCGCTCTCCTGACGTGTTACATGAGATACCCCTGTCCACGAATTCCTCAAAGCTTGCCTTCTTTATTTCTTCAGTTAGCCAGAGTTTATTTATAACCACAATATCCTTGTCTAAGATACTCAGTATAAATCCTACTATCCCAGAAGCTGACACGTGGTTTTTTCTAAGGGGAACATAGGAATTCATGTGACAATGGGAATTTCCCACAGTGATCTTGGGAATTATGTCGCAAAGGTTTCCATACCCATTTTACAGATGAAAAGGCTGAGGCACAATATAATTAAGAGGAAAATTCAAAATAACAGACTCCTTGATTATGCTCTAGGGTTTTCTAAAATACCATGATAAAAATAGAAAGAAAATGAGAGAAAAGAGCCTCTAATGGGCTGGAGGCTTTATTCTCTAGCCAAGTCCTTCTTCCTGCTAATCTCTGCCTCCCCAGTGTAGTCCTGCTCGCATGGCTGCCCTGGGCTCGGCCAGCCTCCCTCCTGCCTTACCTCCAGGCTTCTGGAAGCAGTAGCACCACTCGTTGTTAGAGAGCTTGCCGTCCTTGAAGGAGTCACAAGAGTTGAAGAGAGGCTTGATACAGGGCTCGTACTTGTCCAGGTAGATGGCATTGATCTCTGAGTGGTCAAGCAGGAGGTCATAGTTCATGTCCAACTTGTTGAACATCCAGCCCAGGGAGTCCTTGCAGATGGGCAGGATGCTGGTGTCAAACCCTGCGGAGGGAAGGCGCGTCACTGCCAGGGCCTGGATGTCCTGCCACAGGAGGAGCCCAGCGCCAGTCCTGACCCCCTCCTTCCTGAGGCTGCGCTCCCCCAGGGGGCGGTCTCAGTGGCACTCTGCTGGAATATGGTGGTGGGGGTTGGGGGGGGCTTAAGTGAAACAATTTAAAATGCACAAAACCAGAAGTTAGCATCTAAGGAAAATATGTTTAAGGGGCACAAATCTCCAATGCTCACTTATCTGTACTGTAAGTATGGGTTTTCATTTACAAGACTTACTTAAGCTGGGGTATGCCTGAAAGAAGAGCACACACAGGGTAAGAGAACTAATAACAGTACTGCAAACTACGCTTGGAGATTTAGGGAAACTATTGTGAAAGGACGGCAGTAAGATGGCACAGTCCCGCACTGCTGACCTTCCGAAGCGGCCTCACGTGCACGGGAACGGCACCAGGGGCCGCCTCGGTTCCTCCGCTCTCCCCTCAAGAGGTACATGAGATGGAACCCAAACTGCCTCCGACAATAGTTTCTTCTTTCCCTGGCGGAGGAGGGTTCATTTTCTTAAAGAAATACTTGTTGCCACAATGGAAACTGCACGCACCCACCTAAAAACCCTTTGCTCACCATTTGGGACACCGAGTCTGCCGTAGCCAAGCCCCAGAGAGGGCATGTCCCAAACCTAACTTTCTTTCAGACCAAAAGCACTCGTGACTTCACGTTATACCACAAGCTGGATTTCAAGGACTGGCTTTATCTTCCCAGAAAACGGATGACAAAGGTTCACTTTTGTCTTACTTAAGAAGCCCTGTACTGGTTCTATGAAATGATGCTGAATCCTCTCCACTGACAGATGGAAAAATAAAAGCTCAAGGTCATATAACTGTGGGGCTGGCATTCGAGCCCAGGCGGCCCTGCCCTGAGTCCACAGTCTCAGTCCATCCTCTCCCGGGGCTGCCTCCGCCCGGCGGGATGCATGGCCCTTCTGTCCAGAGGACATCCAGTGGCGAGGGCCCTGTTGGGGGATGGGCAGTGCAAGGCGGGTGGAGGAACACAGTGGCGTTAGCGAAGGGGCCTGATGAGGTTGATAAGCCTACCCACATCCTGGTCACTGGGCTTCTATGTACAGACCAGGAACCCTGCTTAGTCAGTAGGATGTAAGAGCAGAATACGCCCACCTTTTTAAAGCACTGTTTATACCAAAGGGTCTCCACTTCCGGGAGCCAGTGAATGGGTACAGGACTCTCTCGCCGCCCCTGCCCCCCCGCCCCCGGCACTTTGCTAGAACCAGTGATTTTCCCCATTGCTCCGAGCCTGAGCTGGTACAGGCGCATAGTAAGTGCTCAATAAAACTATTTGTTGAGAGAAGTTTTCTAGCTACTGCAAAGTTTACCGCCCAAAACACAAAAACCTTTCCATTTTTACATGTATTCCTGCTGTCTTAGGACACATCTGAGCACATCTTTTTAAGGACAGAGACTGGGGGACACCATGTGGCCTCTCATTTGGCTGATGGTTGTCCCCCGGGGCCGCCAAGTCAGGAAGAGAATTTACCCCAACGCTAAGACTTGCTGTCTACAATACTTTATGCATCAATCTCATAGGATATTAAGATTTAGTACCTGGGAAAGAGGAGTTTACTGCTGACTGCCCACCAAAAAGAAGTGCCCAGAAGGGCCAAGCTCACTTCCCACCTAGTTGGAAGGTTCTGGAAAAGAAGTGCCTGCATCTGATATCTAGGGGTGGGGTGGGGTGGGGGGACAGAACAGCCCTTCTAACTGGGCCCAAGCACGTGGGGCATCTGGGGTTCCCTGGCTTCAGTCTCTGCCTCTTCGGCCTCCATGCCACCCTCCCCTCTGCTCCCCTCACTCCAGCTGCTCTGGGCCATCAAACCAGAGGCCCCTTCAGGACTCGATTAGCTTCCAGCCAGGGTGGCTCTTGCCCAGGCTCCCGGTGTCTGCAGAGGATCCCCGGGATGGTGGTGGCCAGGAGCAGCTCTCCGCACAGCAAAGTGTTCTGGGAGGGTCCCAGGGGAAAGCTGCTCCAGACCAGATTACCTGTCCACACACCCAAGGAAGCCCCCAGCGGGAATAAAAACACACCTACTTCCCCTTCGCCAGACACCACCTCTCTGTGGACACTTAGATTCCAGGAAGCAAACACTCTCCTTCCTTTACCATGGAAGATCCAAATTAGTGGAAGAAGTGTCCCCCACACCAATGTTCCCTACCAGTATCTATGGCTCTGAGCAGCAAAGAATAACCAAGAATTAAGGGGACCATTCTTCTTTTGGCTGAAGACCTGATGCTGGTTAACTGGATCCCAACAGTTACAAAGCTCCTTGTCCTGGACTAACTGCATTGTTGACTAACCCCCTCTGTGCTGCCGGCCACGTGTGGAGAAGGCATCATCGAGAGACTCTGACGAAGTACAAATGTGAGGACGGGTTCTGAGTGTTCCCTTCAGTCTATGAGGAGGCCCTGCAGTTTGGTAATGGGCTGAGGAGCCCCTGCCTGGGAGTGTCTGTGGGAACGGAATGCAGTCTCGTGTCCACTGAGACAGACGATCAAAGGTGTTTGCTACAATGTTGTTTAAAAGAGCTGAACATTAGAACAACTTCAGGGCTCCAGAATAAAGGTCTACATTAATTATGTTACATCCATAAATTGGGATTCTCTGTAGCTATTACAAGAATCCTACTCAACAACATAGAAAGGTAGCCACAGTATGTTGCTAAATGATAAAAGGTCATACAACAGGCTGCAAAGTGTGATATATATACACACACATTTTTTTTCCTATATGACAAGGAAAATGTATATACCACAACATGCCTAACAGTGGTTAAAATAATGGGTTTATAGATTTTTTTGCATTTTTATGTATATTTTATCTGTTTCCCCAAATGTGTATACTAAATGTATGATAATTTTGCAACCACACTTACGTTACTCTGTAAATGCACATTCCCAACTATGGATCCAAAATACGTATGACCATTGTATTGTCTAGATCCTAAGGCATTTTCCCCTCCACTATATTTTAATATTTCTGAAATTGGGACATATTTTAAGTCAGCATGAATATTTAATGTAGAGTATCTTTGTTCACCCCAAAATGCTATTATTGCTAATTTAACAATGTCTGCTGAGGAAATGCGGTGTTTGAAATGAAATAAATTAGCCAGAGGATGTGGTCTTACTGCCTTGGGCTGCGTCGGAGCTGGTGGGCTTGATGACCCTGTTGGCATCCTCATGAAGGGCTCCGAACCAGTCTTTCAGCCGGGAAGCGAGGTTCCTCAACTCCTTGTCCGTGCAGGCTGGGGAAAAGCAAAGGGGGGTCAGTGCGGTGTGGGCTTTCCCCTCCTTAGCGCTGTGTCCTCACCATGGGGTGCCACCAACTAAGCCAGGCCCAAGAAAACTCCCCTCCGGCCACAACAGAACTCCTCACCCCCACGCTGATAACCCCCCCTCCAAGGTGCTGTGATCACAGGTATATGATTGAGCCTGGACTCCCAAGCCGTGGCGGGCTCGCGGTGTGCACCGCCTCAAAGCCCATCACAGGTGCCTCTGCTGACCCGTAGCATCTGTCCTTGCAGGTTGCCAGGAAGATCACATGTCCCACTAAGCTCAGGCCAAGAGCCGGATGCTCAGGACTAGCTATGCTCTCAGGGAGAGGCTGCCTGGGCACCAGAAGGTGCACGAACAGCAGGCTCTCAGTTTCGTGTTGGCCCAAGGTTTGGGTTTGGGTTTGTCGTTGTGGTTATTTTGCTAACCTTTGACAGACTGACTTCACTTTCCCCCATAGACACATGGCTGCCTTCTCCATGGAAGAGGCCTTTCTGTTGGAGCCCACCTGTAACTATCCAGCTCATCTGGTAGGACAGAGTGACTGGGGCCAAGGAGTACTCTTTCTGAGAACAAGAAGAGGATCTGGATGGATGGATGGATGGATGGTAGGGAGTGCATGGAGAGCTGAGATAAAGCTGGAGGGAAGAAATCCCGAAGGAGGGACCACGGTGCAGAGAAGGGAGCCGACGTTCCCTGGGTCCCTGATGTTACCCTAATTCTGGTTATGGAGAATCCTGGCAAAGGGTCCAGGCAGTGAGCTGCTACCAAGATGCAGAAAAACGTGCAAGGGAATTAGTGACCTTTAGCATCTGAAAGGACATAGAGGCTTCAGGGACCAAAATCCCAATAAGTAAGAAGGGACGAAGAAGTGAACCCTAAAACTATCATGTCCCCCAAATTCTCAAGTCCAGGAGACAGGCTGTGAAGAAGCCAAGCAGGGGCAATGTTACAACACAGGGCCCAGTTCCCAACGTCTCCAGGTGCTGACAGGACGCGGATTAAAGCTGGAATCTACTGGTGCACAGAGGCCAGCGGACACCCAGGCTCCACTGGAAGGCATGGGGCAGCGATCAATGTGCAGATGTCTGGCCAAGCTCCATGCCCCTTCAGCGAGTGCAGGCTTGCACGGCGTTGAGGTATGAGCCCCCATTTGCCTCACAAAGAGCAGGATGAATCCCCACCAGAAGAAAAGAACATCACCCAGAGCCTCTCCTCATTCTTAGTCTGCTTCCAGGCAAGCCGTCTTTCCCTTGCCCAGGCTTGGTGGAGAACAGAGGCAGACTTGCAGACCTGGGGCTGGAAAGGTCCCCCAACCTCCACTTGAAGGCAGGTGAGCAGACCCAGGCTGGGCTCTGCAGGCTCAGCCCTGCCTTCATGGGTGCCGCCTTCATTCCAGCCGGGATCCAGATCCAAACCCTGCAAAGCATGGAGTGGGAGTGGCCATTGTTCAGACCCAGCTTGTTAATGACCTCAAGACACTGCCTTATGGATACAGGGAGCAGACTGGCAGCTGTCAGAGTGGAGGGGCTTGGGGGACTGGAAGAAAGAAGGGAAGGAACTGAGCAAAAACAAAAATGTAGATACATAACACACAGACATAGACAACAGTGTGATAGCCCGAGGTAAAGGGGGTGAGATGGAGATGGAGGAAGGCAAAGGGGGGAAGTGGGGACTGAAAGGGGCTTTGCTTGGGGCAGTGGGCGCACAATGCAGCATGGAGATGATGTTTTGTTGAGTCGTACACTTCAATGTCACCCCAGTAAATTCAATTTTAAAAAATTACACACACACACACACACACACACACACACACACACACACACACACGGCCTTGCTTTCAACAACCAGGACATGACTGTGTCTTAAAACACCAGCCAGAAGTGCCCCGAGAGCTGACTGACAGGCCGAAGAGTAGCATGTGGGGCCCACGCTGCCTGGACTGGCTGGGCGGCTCAAACAGGCAACTGAACCTCTCAGTGACTCAGTCTCCTCATCTGTAAACTCAGGACATCACAGGTGACATATGTTAGACCAAGCATGTCAGTTGCTTAGCAAAGCACATGGTATGTAGTGATTACTCAGCACGTGCCAGCTATGACTTTTATTAACGATTATTATTTTTGTTTTTAAATTGAGGGTTTATAGATAAGCGTAGAGCAAACAGCATTTGGAAAACCTAAACAAAACTGGCTTTGGTCACATAGGATTTAGGTGAAATCAGATACCTGCTAGCCAGTACAGTTGCCATTAGCCATAGTGGCTATTTACATTTAAGTTATTTGAAATTAAATACAAATAAAACATCGTTCCTCTGTTGCCCCCACCCCATTGCAAGTGCTCCATAGGCGCGTTGCTCTGACTCCATGAGGGTGGCTCCAGAGAATGTCTGCCCGGGAGCAGCTGTTGCACTGGATGACTTAGCCACCTGTGGGGATGCCCAGCCATCGGAGGTTCACACCATGTCCTACAACCCTGGTCGTGCCTCCACTCCTTCCCTCAGTCTTTTGGGTTTTTTAAATTGATTTCAGAGAGGAAAGGAGAAGGAAAGAGAGAGAGAAACATCAATGATGAGAGAGAATCATTGATGGGCTGCCTCCTGCACCCCCCACACTGGGGATCAAGCCCGCAACCTGGGCATGTGCCCTGACCAGGAATTAAACTGTGACCTCCTGGTTCGTAGGTCGAAGCTCAGCCACTGAGCCACACCCGCTGGGCCTTCCCTCAGTCTTTACAGGTGAGCTGGGGAAGACCGCAAGCCTGCTCCCACCAGGAGCCAGCATGTCATCAGCCGCGTGCACACACGGGGGGAGGGGCTTTCTGAGGGCTCAGGGACCTGCCCCTGGAGCAGGCCAACACTAACAAGCGGATTGACCCCACTCAGGAGCCCTGGGGGTAGAGCGCCCACGTCTCTGGCTTTTCAGTGCTGCACAGCTCTAAGCAGGGGAGGCCGTGAGTGGTCTGTTTTCCCAGGGGAATGGGATGCAGACTCTGTGGCCAACCTCAGTCTGAAAAGGAAAAATTAATAGCATCTATTTCTTTTCGATCAACACCTACACCACCTATTCCAAAGTCCTGTAAGCAGAGAAAACTGCCAAGTCCCTGGCACAGGAAAGAGCCCCATTTCTCTGTGGAATGAATCAGTCTGTCACGTTAACTGAAGCCTGACAGGTGTGCAGGTCACCAAAGCTTTAAGGGACGGCTGAGATGCCCCCGGCTTCCCAAAGTCCAGGGCGCGGATGGCGGGTGGAGGCGCCACTGCCCTCCTGGTTGCTAGAACATCTTCTTGCATAGACTGGGCTTGTGGGGAGCCAGCACTAACTGAGGCAATTCATATACCAGGTGGGTATCCCGGGTTGAAAACAATCAACACATCCAGCCCTCACAGGTCAAGGCAGTTCTGCCAGTGATGCAGGCAGGGCAGCTCTAGGGCAGCTCTAGGACAGACGAGGGAGGGGGCAAGTCAGGCTCCCGCCTTCATCAGCGTGGGGATGGGAGCAGCGGGCCTTGGGAAGGGCCGCGTGCAGCCTGCTGCCGTCCTGTGGCCCCCGAGCACGGGTCATGTGCGCAGCCACAGGGACTCCATTAGAGAAAGAAGAGTCCATGGCACATCACTCCCCTGTAAGCGAAAGCAGCTCCCTCCCCTGGAAAGCCCGTAGGCAGGGGCCAGGTAAGGTGATGCATTCCCAGTGGACGCTTTCCGTCTGTTTGGAAAATAGGGACAAAATGCAATAAGCAAGCCTAAGTCGGGCACATGCAGGCGCCTGGAAGGTATATGGACAGCCCCGGGAAGATGTGACCCTCCCTCCACCTGAGGCCTGGGGCTTGGAGGGCTTTAGGCCAGACTGGACTTGAATGCAAAGAGAAATCAAAGCCCGGAGGACATCCTGAGTGACCGAGTGACCCGGCTGACGGGAGGAAGGAGGAGGCATAGTTGCCAATAGGAAGGGCAGGCAGCTGCTAAAGGGAGGGGCTGAGAGGGGAGGGAGGGCTGCTCTGACCTGCTGGCTTTGGCTGATGGGGAAGCCAGCCGGCCTGCATATCAGCTATTGATGGAGAGAGGATCTCTTCTTCACTGGATGAGTAAGCACAGCCTGGCTCCGACACCCCTGGGGGCCATCACCCATCGTCCCTGGCTCCTCTGTCTCCCTTCAGACAAGGCCAAGGCTAGTGAAGAGCTAGCGAGGCAGTCATTTCGGAAGGGGGGAGGCAGGAGCGAGGAAATCCAGGCTTTGAAAAGTGCTCCCAAGGGCGATACCTGGGGTTCCAAGCTGGTCTCTGGTGACTTTGGGGGCTGAACGACACTCTACACAGCCTCTCAGAGGACTAGATAGAAACGGGGAGACAGGGAGACGACTGAGGGGATGACACAAAAGGCGGAGGTGGGGGCAGAGAACAGAAATGATTTAAAGCTGTAGTGTTATAGCCAACACAGAGTGACAGCAGGTGTGAGTGTGTGTCTGCCTTACAAATCCTCAGTGGAGCCCCATTTGAGCACCCAGTTGGGGATGTCTGGAAATGGCAAACCTGACACGCAGGCCTTGCCAGGTCTGTACACCTCTGCTCGGGAACCAATTACCGGCGTATTCTGTAACTTGCGGAACACTTCCCCTAAAGAGCTGAAGGAGACGAAAGTGCCACCTGTCACCCGACCGCCCTCCCCTCCACCTCGGCCTCACTAATGCTTAGCTCAGGGCTTTGGCAAAAGCCAACATGAAAACAATCAGAATTTAATTTAAACTGTCGCGCCTCCGAAGGTAATTAAGGAGTTGGGCCAGACTGGCGTTCTCTCTGGAGCAGGCCAGGTGCGGCCCCCTCCTCCGGCCTCCTAGCAGCTGCGCATAATTACCTATCAGAGTGGCACCTTCCAGGCACTCTGCCTGCAGGAGGCTCAGCTGGGCCTCTGGCAGGAGGTGTGGCTGCAGACGCTCTGAGACTTGATGCCTGGCAGGGCCTGGATTGGACAACACGG